GTTGTACAAATACAGTACAATCAATCTGCACGTAAACTGGATGTCTTCATGACACCAATGATACAGACTAAATGTTCACTGTGACAAATTAAACTACCCAAGCATGAGTGGAAGCCCACGGCTCCCCGGAAAGGCTGGAAAAAAACATTTTAAAATATTAAACTGTACAGCATGCATTTGAAAATGGTTGGCAAAAAGTTTGTAGTTAAGCTCACAACTTGCTAAAAACGTGAAAAGTATCAAAATGAACAGAAATTAAATAATTAAATGGATATCTAAAAATGTGTCTCCCTTTTGCTTGATCTGTGATTTAAAGTTATTGGTCGAAGATGTGAGTTTTTGTCTATATTTACATGGTTTTAATGCACAGAAATGTGTTTTCATGTAAGGTCTTAAGAATATCAAACAAAATTTTGCCTTTAATATAACTTATAGCTTTTAGACCCTTTTCTGAAGATGTGGCGACCTGTCCAGGGTGTACCCCGCCTTTCACCCGATGTCAGCTGGGATTGGCTCCAGTCCCCCGCGGCCCTGTACACAGAATAAGCGGTTGACGATGGATGGATGGATACAACCTTTAATGTAAATAACTGTCAAAACATAATCTTTTCACTCACTGGAAAACAGCTAAAAGTAATTTGTGTGCAGCGGCAATCGTGCAACCATGCTACATATATCATTCATATGTTGACATGTTCTGAATTTGACACAGTTTTCTGCATTTTCTTAAAATGTGCATTTATTTGCATGTTTAATGAGAAATCCAAGAAAATCCAATGTTCTCACTCCCGACTCTACACAAATTGACGCTTGGTCAAGGCCCTTTGGCGTCGCTTTTTAATGACCTGGGTATCCCTTTTTTGCGTCATTTATTGATGTTTAGGGCTCCGTAGTCAAGTTAGCAATACTTAGCAACAATAAATATACAACTCTCCGGTAAAGTTAGCAACAATAAATATACAGCTCTCCGGTAAAGTTAGCTACAATAAATATGCAAGGTCAGGTTAGACTTTCAAAATAAAACGCCAGCGTTTTGAAACATTGCCATTTTGAAACGTTTGGCGCGTTATTAAAGTCGTGAAATGTTGCAGTTTGGTTATGTTTAGACACAAAATGTACTTGGTTGGGTTTATCATGGTTTGGGTTAAAATAACTATGTACGTCAGTTAACACATAAGTTAACTAACATCACGTCAATTTACGTTACTTTAACTAATAACCTAAATAAAAATATTTAATGTTAACTTTTTGTTTCATACGGGACACGAACCCCGGGCTTCTGGTTCAAAGTCGGGGGTTCTGTCCCTCCATCCACTCCAACCACCTCCTTCCTTAGTCTTTTCTGTTAAATATATACCTGTCTTTACCGTCAAAAACTGACACCACAGGGTTTCCCCCTCTACGTTGAACTATGACGGTAAAGGGATCCCCAATGACGACTATAGCTCTTGACCATGCGTCTGGAACGTCTCAGAGAAGCTCATCTGCATGCTCGTCGTCCTCATCGGGGTCTCGACCTGACTGCAACTTCGCACAGCCATTGAAGAGGAGTGGACCAACACTCCACAGGGCACAATCACCAACCTGATCAACTCTATGCGAAGGGGATGTGTTGCACTACATGAGGCAAATGGTGGTCACACCAGATACTGACTGGTTTCCGGACCCTCCCGGACCCCCATCAATACAGTGAAACTGCACATTTTCGAGTGGCCTTTTATTGTGGCCAGCCTAAGGCCTTTTATTGTGGCCAGCCTAAGGCACACCTGTGCAATACCCATGCTGTCTGATCAGCATCTTGATATGCCACACCTGTGAGGAGAATGGATTATCTGGGCAAAGGAGAAGTGATCACTAACACAGATTTAGACAGATTTGTGAACAATATTTGAGAGAAATGGGCCTTTTGTGTACATAGAGAAAGTCTTAGATCTTTTGTGTACATAGAGAAAGTCTTAGATCTTTGAGGTCAGCTCATGATGAATGGGGGCAAAACCAAAAGTGTTAAGTTTATAATTTTATTTAGTGTAGAAAGGATTAGAAACACAAAATGATGACTTAAATTAAGTTACATCTGTGAATACTCCTACTGTGGGCCTTTAGTACACAAATTAAAGTGTTTAACAGTGTGACAGACTTCCCCTGCTCACGCTAAGGTAAAGGCATCTCTGAAAGCGCTCTGCAGTGAAAGAGGAAACCCAAATAACGTTGGTGGACCAAGGAGAAAACACATTGTTGGAAGAAAAGCAACCAGTTGCAGTGTTGTTAAAAATAAACAGAACAGCATTCCAGTGACACCGGATAGCGTTGGGCATTTGGAAGAAGCCTGGAATCTCCTTGAGAGGTGGCCTGATTTACACAAATTTACCAAGTTCAGGGAGTGTGAAGTTGGCTGATGGACGATCCTTCAGTCCTCGTATATAATAAACACAAAGGTGTCACATGTCGGGACTTTACTCTCTAAGAATGCAGGATGGGGTTTTCCTAACTGTAGGATGACCTTTGCTCCCCGAGGTCAGAGAGATGGTTGTGAAAGGAAGGAAGACGGTGTGTGGTTTTAAAAGTCTAAGAACTGACTTCAGGGGAGGAGGGATGTGCGTCAAAACACGCTGTATGTCAGAGCAGGTGGTGTGAGAGAAACGAGGGGTAACAGGTAATTTGCTTTGTTGTGCGTCTCCTCACACACTCGTCCAATCATCTCTTAGCACACTGTTTAGGTTTTCTTGGGTTTGTTTTGCTTTTCTTAGCCCCTCTCTCATCTTGCTTTTGTTTGCCAGAGCACGCAGGAGATTCTGTGTTTTTATTGTCTATTATTTTGCACGCGACATCCTCACACTGTACGTGCACGGAAGTTCAACGGGTCCAGTTCCCAGTTCCCTGCTCTACGTGACATTTCTCTGGGCTCCAAAGGAGAATTTACTACCCAAACACATCAGCCCCAGGCCATGAATGCAATGAAAAGACAGAAAGACAAACACGAAGAAAAAAGAAAGAAAAAGAGAGAACTCAGCCACTCGATATGGTGATTCGCAGAGACGCCTAGACAAGCTTCGAACGGGCTGAATTTGGTTAAAAAAACAACTTCAATGACGTGTTGCTAGGACCTGCTTCACATTAAAATATAGCCATTTAAATGTTAAGTTAAGAATGAAAACAATGTAGCTTCCTAATACAAAAAAAGTAGACTCTCAATGCTTCAGTTTCTAAATGAAGTGGATCCTTGGTATCTTCTACCAAGGAACATTTTGAAACATAAAAATCAAACAATCACGCCACTTCACACGGTGATTGGCCAGTTGTGTGCTGAGGTGGGAAAGTAGGCAGGGTTTGACATCTTCTCTCACATTTACATTTTTCACCAAACTATTCTGTCACTTTTCACTTGCACAGCCAAGGGGGTAAGCCACAGTTGGAACAGTGAAGCCGACCAAAGCCTGCATTGAGGGCTCCATCCAGAATTTGACATACAGTACATGACAACAATGACGACAACATCGATTAAAAATACAGGGTCAGACACATGGGTAAATAAATACCACAACATTAAAAGTTCAAGTTCAAGTACGCCTTATGTGCAGACGTTACCTATTCTTTACAGAGTTAAGCAGAGAAATAGCAGAGGGTACGAAGGACAGTTTAACCAGAAAGGCAGCATCTTAAATTCTGCATACAGGGGGGTGAAGACTATCAGACATGATGCATTCTGCCTTTTTAAGCACGTTTGTTGTACAGTTCAGTTAGTTTAATCTGCTGAATCCCGATGATTTTGCTGTTAACTTTATTTACCATAAGTAATGTGTTTTTCCGTTTTAAACTAAGAGAAGCACACCAGCAAATACATGAAAAAGTAAAGGACTCAATAAAAGATTTATAAAACAATGTCATCAGGGATGTTTAGATTATAAACTCTGTTAAGAGTTTAATAAAAACTATCCGGCTATCGGTGACGTTAGGCGGGCTGATTAAACAGTGATGATCCGAGTCAGACAAACACACTGAGCCAAGAAACTTTTTGTTGGTGTAGTTATGCAATTACGGTGTTTCTGCGGTTGCTAAACGTTATTAAACTATAGACAGTATATTACTGGACAAAGCCACCTCGCTGATTTGAATGGAGAGCAGTGAAGCCAGTTTTGGACCAATAAAAATACTACTACAGGGCTACTTCTAAAACTGGCTTCACTGCTCTCCATTCAAATCTGCGGGGTGGCTTTGTCCAGTAATATACTGTCTATGTGCACAACGATGGAGTGTAATGCTACATTCATGTGCAATACACTCCATCCGTCATTGCCCGAGTTCGGAAGTCGTTTTTCCAACTTCGGTGTGTTCATGTGCTTTAAGACAGAATATGGAAATAACTTGGATGCTACTGTAAAGATGTGTTGGATTAGCATTATCATTGTCATCCAACTACGCTGAAACAGTTTAAAGCTTTCTATCACAAAGTTATCAGAGTGATTTTTTTGTCCCACAGTTGTTTCTGCACCAGTACATTACCTGATGCCACTAAAATATTGCTTGTACTGCTAATAAATAACTTTTCTAAGTAATCTACTTCACTCTACATGGACAGCAAACTAACAGTTATAACCTAATATCATATTACAAATTACACCTTAGCAAATATGTATGTACAATATGTGATTTTGCACCATTTTGCAACTCGTGTAGCAGAATTTTCTCCAACTTTCCGAGTTGTTGTTCCCGCTTCAGGGGCTGTATATGTGAATTTTCCAATTATTCTGACACCACATGAATGCATCAACACCTTTGAGGCCTGTTAGAAAATGTGGTGCTGTAATCCTCATTTGAGTGTTTGAGTCAAAAACACAGAGACATTCAAAGAGTTCTTTCATCTTTAGACATAGTTGGACGCCATCTTGTACGTCCCACTTCATTTAAAGCTTACTGAACCCTTTAGTCTTTTTACCCTTTGGTCTCCTCCCTCTTAAAAAAAAAAAAAAAGACAAGCTGAAACAACAGAGCAGACACGGACCTTATTGTGTAAAAATACCTCTTTTTTTATTGAATTTCCATCATTACAATTGCACATAATCAGTTTGAGCAATCTAAAATATTTATAGAAATTCAGTGAGCTCTAAATGAACAGTCATCAGTCTTTAGCAGAGGCTTTAGAGATGTGTAAATATACTGAGAACTTCACTTCCCATGGGGCAAGGAGCTGTAGCCAAGGTAACCCCCCACCCCCACCCTCCAAACCCACCCAAAAGCAATGAAAGACCCTCTTCCATGTACAGTAGCATCTCTGGATACGTCTTATTCTGGGGGGAAAAAAAAGGTGCTGCCCTGACGCAAATCCCCACCCCGAATAAAAGAACACAACACGGCAACATCAGAAGTCACATACAGCTGTGTATACCAGCAGTTTACCACCTGCAACAGAGAAACAGAAAGCTCCACGGTTCACAAGTTATGTCGTAGTATTCACTCTCCAGAAGTGCGATAGATGGGGAAAAACAAAGAAACCTCAGCAAGGTACACACAAACAACAGCGTCACACTCAATATAATCAGTTTTTTAAAGGGCTGGAAGTGATATACATGGGCTTATTGATATTTTTCATTCATCCGCTGACACATTTTGAGTATGAGGAAGAAGATGAGCAATATTTCCTCCGATTCTCTCCCAGCATCAAATCTGTAAAACTTTTTTAAAAAATAGTGGCGTCTTGTTCCAGTAAAAGCTGCTCGCCTACTGGATGTTACCAACGAATCATCCAGAAATACCAGCCTGTTGTTGGGCGCTCAGATAAACGTAGAGGTTAAGAGGGGAATCATGATGGGATGTGACAATAATCACCCTCGAAAGACAGTTTCCACTCGGACGTCCTGCCCCCGTTAAACCCCAGCGACAGAATTTTACTCAGCAGGTGAGCACGAGCCACAAATAGACAAGAGGACGGGAATTCCCACATGCAAGCAGACAGACAATATGCGAATGCTCATCCAGAAAACTCAAAGTCGGATTCGTATGAAAAGCAGACACCCCCCACAAAAAAAGAAAAGACCTCATCTTGATGCAGGTTTAGAGGAGGAAGGAGGCTGATGACTGTTTTATCTGTGTGAGGGATGTGACCTGCTTCATTATCTCCCCAGAGAGGAACAGCAGGTTAAAGATAGCACTGCCGTCTGGACAGCACACTGACTGGGACAGACAAGTGCACACATACACACACGTAATGTGATGAGTGATTGGACTCAACTATTTCCTCATTACAGCTTACTGAAATCTGAATATGAGTCACCTGTGACCAGAAGTATCAGTGCTTTTTGCTGAGCAGAAGAAATAAACAACAGGTGTGGAGTTATGAGGTTCTGAGTGCAGCTTTGGGATACTGAGCATTCAATATTTAGTGAGTTACTACCTGACGTAATGACACTAGGAAATGGTTTTCCAAGGAGGAAAAAAAAAATACTCCTTTAAAAAAATATTACTTACAGAACCATTAATCGGTGGATACTGTAAATTCTCAAACAACAGCATGTTGGTGGGTACTGGATAACAGCCAGGAAAAAACTACACTAACAACCCCTTTACTAATAGCTTTCTACATTTAGCACAAACAGCATTAGTACCCTCAGTAGGGAGTAGTGGCAGTAATATTATATATATATTTATTCATTAAGTTCGTATACGAGATATTAATGTACTTCTTCAAAGGTTTCTATGTTCTCTGAAGTTTTCCTGGAGCTACCTCACAGTCATCCTCCATTTTTGATTTTGTCCAGCTGTGAGTAGCTCCTCTATCTCCCCTGCGGATTACACTGTCAGAGAATAGTGTCATCAAACTACACTCAAAAGCTACGATAAATGTATAAACAAGCTGACATCTCTGAGTACACTTAATTTTCTCACTTCTTCAGTGTGGTTGCAAAATAAAATAAAAAATGACTACAAAACCTTTCAGTATGTTACCATGTGCAGTCGACTGATGTAAATCAAACTGCGAATTGGGAGAGTTGCTGCCAATTAAACAAATTCAAATTCATAAGAGAAACCAAACTGTCCCAAATTGTTTATATATTATCTTTTTGTTTAGTGTTATAAAGTAGAAGTAGTAGAGATACTTTCAATCTGAGTAGCTCATGCTCCTCCTCTACGCACTGCCACGTGGGACAACATATATTTACCTTTATCCGTTTTCTGAAATAAAATAAACCTTCTTAAACCTACTTAAAAAGAGTATGTACTGGAGGATGAAACTGACACAGCTACTGATTCTTTCATGCTGATGGATTCAGCATTGCAGCACCTTCATGTTCAAGGTACCCGGTGGAGTTTTGAGCAATGTATTTAGTGCTTCCCAGTTTTGTTTGAACCTTGTGTGCACAAAAACATGACGAGATGAAAGTAAACATGAATGCAAACTATACGATTTTTCAAATCAAAAAAATAAATAAAATCGGTAAATGTTTTATGAGGAAAAAAATGCACTAAACGCGCTCGTTAAACCTAAAGGATGCACACAATGTGTTTTGGTGACAGACACTCCAGGGGCTTCCTTTAAACTGCTGTTAGTGGACACTTCCAGCAAATGTTTCACAATAAAAGCTTAAATGAGAAGTTTACGGACTCTGGCCTCTAAACCTTTGGAAGGTAAATGGCATCAACAAACTAATGCAAATAAACTTAAATATAACCTGTGTCAAATAAAAAGCCTCTTCAGGTGAGGAAAATACAGCTACTTTTTGAGAATTTACAGTACTGCGATTTTATTAACGAGTCAGAACCTCATAATTGCAGTCAGTCTCAGGACAGTGCAAAACATCACAGCACCGTGCAGTGTGTCCCAGAACAAAAACAGCGTTTAAGCATCATTGATAAAGACAGAGATGTGTTTAAATGTAAATGTTCACCACAGAAATGCTACAAAAGCACTGCTACTACACCATGCATGTGATAATGAATGAAAGCGGAGCATGCAGTTATTTTTAACAGGTGGGATGTCAGAGTGTCTGGACTAGTTCTCTCCTGGATGCTCATCAAGCAGCAGGAGGTCTGCACACACTGTCCCCCGCCTCTAAGACTCCCCGTCCCCGGGTCCACCTGAGCCCACGCTCTTTTGCTCCGGCTCTTTGATCACATTCGCTAAATTGGTGAAAATTGTGCTCATTATCTGATGAACAAAGAGGACTCCTCAGGGACTCGCCAGCGTCTTTTCTAGAGAAAGAACTGAGCACGCCGGACGAACACAATAGATCAGGACAGACCTGTGACAGGCCACGCTGCACGTAAACAACATTTTCACCCTGCAGGAGAAAAGTGTGAATTTGAATTTGGCCAATTTCATCAGGCAATAAAACACGGAGGGCAATTAGAGTTTCTCAAGAGTATACTTCCGTCCTTGGCACAGAGATGTACTAATGAGGGAGCTCTTAATGTCGTCATTATAGTGGCTGGCAGTGTGTTTTGTCTTCCACCTAGCCTCTGACTCACCTTCATTACAAAGGAAGAGTTAGGTAAGTGGCAAATGAGAAGCAAGTAGGAGTAAAAATTCAATTTTATCCACCGTGTGTCACCTGCTTTCAACAGAGCAGGCTGCGGTGAAATTTTTGGTCACTGTGATGAGAGGAACTAATGGAGGAGAGGGACAGTTTAGTGCAGCAAATAAAGAGAGGACAAAGCTGTATGAGTCGCACCTTTGGCTGTTAGTAGCACTTTTAAAAGAATCTATCTGGAGGACAGTAAGCTAAAGGCTGGGTGACTTGAGCCCAGCAAGGAGCAGATAATGGTGTGAAGGGTGCTACAAAACAGGAAACTCCCTGGTTTAAATGAGAGACTGGACTGTACTGGACTAAGTAAAGCGGCAGACAAACAAAATCAGCCAGTAGCTGGTTAACATAGATGAACATTTTGAAGCCGAAGAGCCAGATTTTTTTCTCAGCAGTTGATGAAGACCAAACAGAGCAACAAAAAAAAGAGACTGAATATTGGATTAACATTCAGGCAGCCAGAAACAGGACCCAAATTCAATGCTAACCTTATATTCTGGATGTGTAAATAGGCATATATAACAATTTTATACGTTGCTAATAAGGTAATTATGTGTTTACAGCTTGTTCCGCTGCTCCCAAGTGGCCAAAAACAATTAATTCAGATTTAAATGCTCGCATCTTGCGCGTGTTCTGACTGAACTAAACTAAACTGACCTTGTTATTTAACCCTTGTGATAAATTTGAACATATTGTTTTCAAGGAATTGAATGATTTTCCCCAGTGCTTGCAGTTCATCAAAGTCATGTGGGCTTCACAGTGGGTACCAAAGGTTAAAAAGAAGTACTGTCAATTAATGCCACAGCAGATTCCAGTCCTTTTTGTCTTCAAGAGGTGGTATTATGCTTTTTGCACAGTTATAACTTTATGGATGAAAGATACTTTTGTTACAGATTAATAACTCACCACTCTGAAACTCCAGTCCATGTACGAATTTGAACCTGAAAATGAGCATAATACCACCTCTTTAGATCACAGATTGTGCCTTAAAGCAACAATCAAACAATCTGAGCACAGCTAAAGCCACTGAAACTGAGCTAAGATAGACTGAAGACGGACACAAATACAAAAAATATCAAGTCATTACCCTGCAACAAAACATTTATAGGCAAGAAGATGATGTAAATTCTCCAACTGTAACAATATCCCGCCATCCTGCCACATACAGTATTTCAAGTTTCCCATTTTGTCATTAGAGCAGTACTTGCATTACAACTAAAGGTGTCAGCTGAGCTCTATGTAGGCACCCCGAAGCCATCAGAAACCACCACGTGAAAAAAAAAAGAACCAAGGCAACAAGAGAGATGAGTACAAACGTGTAGAAGGAAAATACCGACGATCTGGAGCTCCATCTACAATGAGAAACACAAAACAATGAAGGCAAACAGGAAGTGGAATTATGATGCCATGCAGAGTGTGAAGAGGGAGGAAGCTGGTATGATGGGAGAGGCAGAGATCCCTGCATCATCATCATCACTACAACATCTTATTATCCTTAGTTGTTTTTCTATAGAGAGGCACACAGAAGGCTTGCAAGTTACAGTTCAAAAGCATTTACGTGTTTGAGCCAAGAAGAACACGACAAAAAACATCCACAGCCCACACACAAGAAAAGTCTCTAATGCATCGCTCAAGTTTTCAGAGGGAAAACAGCAGTTATAATAAATAAGAAAAACTGCAGTAAATATGTCTGGGGAAAAAACCCTGGATCTAAATAATAACAATAATTAATATAATAATAGTAATAATAATAGTAATAATATCCAGTTCTTTTCATGTTGAACATGGAGTGGAGAGGGTTGTGATTGGCTCAGTATAGACAACTAGGAGAATATGGGCAATCTTCTCCCACAACTGACCATAATGTCAAAACATACCTCACTTAAAAAGGTTTGTGTCAAGTAAGGCTGCAGGATTGAGCGGATTTAAATTGCCATTTTCGCCTCATACCTCTGTGCAATCTCATTACACTTGTGTATTTGCAGGGCGGCCTGCTGCATCAAACTAAGCGCTTCTAATTTTTCCACATGATGGACTTTCTGTGAAACACAAAGTCAATCAAAAGTAATGTCCAGACAGATGAGTAAATCTGCGACTGCATCTGTGACTTCCCGAAAGAGAAAATCCAACAATCACACCCACTTCACTCTGTCATAGGCCAGGACTCTCTTTTCATTCTTCACAAATACTCCCTCCACCATTCATGTGAACGAGTGTAGCATTTTTTAATGCCTTTGAGGAGACACTGTCCGTAAGCGTATGCCATTAGCAATTCAGCCAAGCAATTCGCCTTCTTGCCTTCAAGCGTGGCTGTTTGAGACAGCTATAAACACTTTTGTCTTCGGACGTTGCCAGATAACATGTTGGCCTGGTCACGCCACAATTAATTTGCTCACCAAATATGTGGTGGCTTTGACGGTCAAGACAGTTTGCATGTTGGTCTACGGCACAAATCAAATCAAAGTTCAACAGGGTTGAACACTGCAGGCAAATCTACTGATTGCTGTGAAAATCTCAATGTCTGAAATGCTGGTGTGATCGAGTCCTAAAGGGACAACACGCAGTTCTGTTTATACCACGCTGGGGTCTGCAGTGGTGGATGTGGATATTTGTTGCCACATTCGTTGTACAGTGACCATAATGGCCCTGGACAAACACAGATGAATATTTATTATTGTTAGAATCTAGGAATATAAAAAATAAATAAATGTATCTAACCAAAGTTACCCATCTGAAACACAAAATACAATTTTATGGTACCAAGGCTACGAAAACTACAGGAAAACCCCTGCCTGTGAGCCACAAACCACTGGGAGGCAGGAGGTTGTGATTCGATTGTCTGTTTGACCGGGCCCTAACATGCTGACAACATAAGCCAGACAAACAACAATCCAATAGACAAACAAAAAGAAAAAGAAATTAATGTCCCCAACCAAGACAAAAACTTTATAACCATTTGAAAAAAAAACAAAAAAAGCCTCACGTTCCTTTGTGAGGAACTGTTTCAGGTGAGCACATGCATGTGTCAAGCAGTGTTCGGACAAAGTACATACTGCATCCAAACACTACAATTAAGTACAAAACGAAGGTACCAAGGCCACGAAATCTACCCGATAATCCTGCCGCCTGACCACGTGAAATATAAATAACGGGAGGTTCATTCAGAGCATCACTATAACTGAACAAAGCTCTCACAGGCACAATGAGACTGCACAGGAAAAAATCCTAAGAATCACGAGAGAAAATCATTGTCTCTGAACACAAAAATTGCAATTCTCATTTCATCCAAAATCGTGCAGCCCTACGAACACACACATATCATGCACCAGCTCACACACACAGTACAAACGCACTTACACACACTCACAGGCAGCCAGAGCCCAAAACGCGTAGTAGACCTCTGTTGTGATCAAGGGAAAGCAGTTGAAGTGCGGTACCTATTTCTGACCACTAGGAGGGCCTTAAAGCGAGGCCCTACATATGCAGGACTACAACTGTTCCTCTCTGGCCATCTGAGCCCGTTTTCACCTCAGTGATATATTCTGTACATGCAATCAATTAATAAACCGATGCAACACTTGCTTTGAGTATACAAACATTTAGATTACACATATATAGCATTACATCATTCATCTGTTTATATAATCTGCACCTCTTTTCACTTCTGGCTTTCAGCAAAAAGAAAAAAAAAAAACACCTTGAGTTTGACCATCATGACAGGTTTCACGTCACACACGGTCAACTCGCTGACTAGTGAAAACCATGTTTGAGAAGTAGGCGGCGCACAGAGGTTGGACTAACCAAAGGGAGTTTTTGCATACAGACATCTTAAATTATTCCAGATTATTTGTGAGGCAGCCGTCTCCCCCACCCCTCCCATGTCAGGTACTATACAGGGGACATGGAGGCCAGGTGGGGGTGGGGACAAACTCCCCCGTCCTGCTTCCTCAGCTTCTCCTCTGGGCTCCGTCTGTCTGTTTCTGGAGGGACAGGTGTGTGTGTGTGTGTGTGTGTAGGGGGGGGGGGGGGGGGGCTGCGATTGGTGCTTTTTGTTTGTTGTATATTTCTTTCCTTTTTAACGGATCTCCCCTCCCTCTCAGCCACTCAGTCCCCCAAGATGACTTTCACAAAGCTAGCCACGTCGGTTTCTTTGGCCTCATGGGAGGTGAAGAAGGGATGTTGCTGAGGAGGAAAATGACATGCAAATACAAATCATTAGAACAACCGATTGATGTACTGAAGCATCACAGCTTATCTACTCATCTGTGATGGAGAAGACTTTCAGCCCAATGGAAATAATGGTGTTAGTGCGCCCTCCAGTGTCTGATTGACAGTATTACAAGGTGCATGCAGGTAATGCTTCTAATCTGAAGAAAACAGTAATGATTTATAAGTAAATGAAGAATTTAAGAAATTCAACACCCACCATGAGTTCTGTGTAAGTCGGCCGCTCTTTGGAAACTTTCTTTAAGCTGCAGAAGCAAAAAGCAACACGAACATGAATTCACAACAAATGTATTCACTCTTCATGTACTGGACTGATTTCCCAAGCCTTCGGTCCCAAAGCTCGGCTTTTCTTTCAGCAATTGCTTCACCGGGTTTAACAGATCAGTGACTTTGATATGAGATTCGTTTTATTTCTCAGGAAGAACATCAAACAACGAAAGCACGAGTGGACTTGCAGTAACTGAAAAAACACACAGCCAAACATCATACCATGCAACAAAAAAAAAAAGAAGCCATTCATATCAGATATGTGTCTGCAAAAAACAGCGCCGTTACCTGTGAAATATTGGCTCTCAGGTAACCAAATGCGTTCATTTGACAATATTTCGATCCCAACAGCCTGGTTTTCCCACCATACAACAGTCATAACATCACAGATATACTTGTACAGCTACAGTCTGAGCTGGGGGTCTCAGTACAGGTCCGCTGGAGCAGATGGGGGCACCTGAACAGTCTAGTTACTCCTGCCGAGTTCAGGATGGAAACTCAAACTTTCACAAGTGAGTTCTCACAAGTCTGAATCTAAAAGCAGTCTGGAGTTTTTACTTTTTCCTCATTACAGCTGGAGTAGGTAATGTGTCTGTGTCTGTCACAGGTCTACCTGTGCACACTCTGCCGTGCACTCACCGTGCATGAACATGTGTTTTGGGCGAGTGGCTCTGGAGGGAGGCCTGAAGGGAGGGGTGGGATTTTTAAATGTTTTTTAATTTTCTAAATCTAGCTGTATCTTGCTGCTTTCTCTAACGTTGCCTGCCCCAGCTTTAAGAACACTCAAAGTTCTCAGAATCTGTGGAGAAAGCAACTCACAACAATGTGCTTTAACCATGCTGATGGGACATAAAAAACACTCCCTTACCACAAGATGAATTTCTGCATGGGTAAGTAGGCAACTGCCACTTCAGTACAAAACTAAAACAAGCAGCAGGAAATGAAACCTGACATAAAGGCTCCCTCAGAAACACCGGCCCCATTTAAAGTAACTTGACCAGATATAATTTACGCTTGATAATTGCTAAAAATAACTTTTATATATAACTGTTTATTTTCAACAATAACAGCTAAGCTAGGTCACTAACAGCACAAACAAAATGATTCCTCGCATGGCCGGAGAATGAGCGACTTTTATTAAACTTTTTATTGTCTTCATCTCACGCCGCTCCCTCACCCATCCAGATCCTTCAATTGTGGAACTAATCAGGGATCAGATAAAAGCTATGACGGCATGTTACGCCTTCTGAATGATAGTATGTGATGAAACTGGTGAAGCTGCTTTCTTCCTGTCACTTTTCTCACGCTACACTTTTCAGTGTAGTTTCAGCTGCCGTTACAACAGGACCCTGTGAGTGACTTCCACAGACCGCTATCTAACGTGGTTACACTTGGCAGGAGTAAAGATGCATCCTGGATCTAGACATCTTGGTGAGATAAAAGCATTTACATCAGTTTTCTGTTTGTCTCAATGCTTCTAGGTTGCCTTTACGTGTGGCTTTTATGATCCCAGACAGAAAACAGTAAACGCAGTTACACACTGAGAGCTGACCTGAAGGCTTGAGCTACAACGTGTGGTATTAAATACTGAACACAACAGGCGCGCTGAAACAATTAAATCAATTAATCGATAATTTATTCAACAGAAAATTACAATTTCGATGACTTTAATCACGCCAGTTTATCTTCTCAAATCGGAAAATTTGCTACGATTAAAATCACTGTAAACTGAAAACCTCTGGATCTGAACAAAGTCATGTGCTGAGGAAGACCGTGAGATGAAAGCTGGGGGAAAAAAACTAGTGACCTAATTTAGGATTGTTTGTAAGTGAATATCTTTGTGCTTTGAATTGTTGGTCTGACAAAACAAGCAATTTTAAGATTTCGCCTTGGACTCTAGGATCAATTTTAAAAAGTTTGTTATTTTAACCATTCTTTATGAATCAATTTTAGAATAAAGAGTCCCTGTGCATCCTGACAGAACAGGCCTTTGTCCTCGCAACAACAGCGACAACAAAAGAATGCCGTAAAGAACTTAATCTGATAAAGGGGGAAATTAACTGAAGCCCACTCCGCTGGGATCAACACACACTTTTGTCAGATTTACTGTGGGCACAGCCAGTCTGCTGGCTTCTCGCCTGAAGACATCAGACTTGAGTGGGTTATTTGAGTGGAGAAAATAAAAACAGCAACAATGTGGAACTGAACATTTTCTGAGTTGTTGTTCTGGCTGGCGAAAATGGGACAAAACAACAGAAAAAATACGTACCACAGAGAGGAGAAGTCCACAAACTCTGGGGAGAAGTTGTCGGCAGGAAGCTGGGGTGAAGGTTCTTCCACCACCTGCTTCAGCTGCTGGAAGGGCGTGCCCCATGAGTCGTACGGGAAGCGCAGGATGGCGAGCTCGATCTGACACACAGAGATAGAGGTCACTGGTATCTAATCCCATCATGTTTTCATGGAACATGACAGACGTGGTATTCACCACCCTGTATATGTGACACTAACACTATCCAGGTTTTGATCACTTCCAACGTGCAGACACGTCTTTCACTCGCTGTCGTTTCTGTACAGAGTTACCTGCAGTAGCACATAAATCCACTTTGTCATATGGGCGCCTGGATTTAATTTCTCCATCTGATCACCAGCAAAGAAGGACGAGTGTAACAGTACAATTTATCCTCTGCATTACAGCTGAGAGACTTTCATTTTCCTTTCAGCTCGTAGATCATTCCCGTATTTATCCTCATATTTTTTGCTTTACTTACAAACATCTCACATAACGCGACTCACCTGCACAGCTATCAGAAACCTGGATAGGAGTAAATCAGTCGAGTAACTAATCAGCAATTTTGAAAATCAATTAATCTTTTAAGTCATTTATAAAAGCAAAAACACATCTTCTCCAACGTGAGGATGTGCTGCTTTTCTCTGACGCCGCTGTAAATTAAATATCTTTGACATTTGGACTGTTGGTCGAACAAAACAACACATTTGAAGTCACGTTCGGCTTTGGGAATGTGTAATGATCATTTTCACTACTCTTTGGACATTTTATTGACTTAATTAATTAAAAATAATCCGTCCCACGTCCTCAAACGCATACTGTACATAGTCTTTCTCCACTAATCCACCAGATGCGACACCCAACTGCACCTGTCTTACCTCATCTGCTCTGCAGTTACCTGGACTACTCCGCCCACTGTCCCATCTGTTACCACTTTCCCTGCAGATACTGGACCATTTCCACTGGGCTTATTCTACAGTAGCTGAGTGAGCAAATAAAATGATGTTTATTTTGATGTTTTCATCCTGATTGCATAATTCCAAAATTATTCCAAATAGATATTTTCTCTACGGCTAACATTAGCCTTATGTTAGGCTTGATTGGTGCAGTGTGTAGTTCTCCCGGCCCGCAGTCTTATTCACGTTTCTGAAATCAGAATATATTTACATTAACATAACTCACAACCTGCATACGAGTCCTCATGTACACCCGCTCAGCGACTTCAAAATGTCTTTTGATGTTTCACCTATTGCCCTTTCACAAATGATTAATTTATTGTAATCGATGTTACTGCAAAACCCAAGACATTAATGATAACAGCTGACGTTACAGACCAAAATCTCATCAAACTGCAGTTATTTCAGCCTCCGTTGTTCAGGTGGCACTTAAGTAGAGCTCTTGAGGAGTAACAGATACTCCAAAAATCAACCCAAATTCACCCAGAGTGAGTTTTATTCGACACACTGATTGCTCACTCTGTCTTTGTTCAGTTCAGTTAAAACTCCCTCACACAGAATTCATAACGCAACGGTTTCAAAATCTGAACTTTCCCTTTCACCTTTATGATTTACAACCCTCTCTTCTACCCACCATTATCATTCAAATTAGACTTGGAACATTTGCTTCTCATCTGAATGATGCCACAGATTGCTGAATCACTGAAGCCAAAATATTCTCTGATCTGAGTTGAAAATGTGCAAAGAGAAAGCTATGAATAATTAACAACTCATAATAAACGTCTAGACACTAATTTGTCTAGAGCCATGCCTCATAAAACGCCAGATTTCTTTTTTCATTATGAATCATTTTTACCCCTCAGGAACTTTTATGTTTTGAGACATTTAGAAAAACTTTTAAGATATAAAGTTTGCAATATAAATTCACACTGAAATGAGGAGCAATTGAAGCTGATTTACCATTGTGATTCCTAAACTCCAGATGTCAGACTTGACGTTGTAGCCCTTCTGGTTCGTCTCGGGGTTGATCCTCTCCGGCTGCGGGACAGAAGGCCAGACGATGTCACTTATAACAGCGGTTGTCAAGGACGACCTGCATCGCAAACGTCTTGTGCACACACAGACCGCTATGTTCCGTGAACGCTAACCTGGCCCTAAAAGTCATTCAGCCAATCAGCAGCGGCAGCAGCAGAGCAGACGTGGTTAAACTGTAGCCGGCTCGTTAAATGTGTGGATGATAATGAGAAACAGAGAGGTGAACCTGTTCAGCCGTCTACTGATGAGCAGAATACTCAGATATAAAAAGGCTTTTCATGTACAGTGTGTGTGGCGGCTGCACTAATCAGAAGGTCGGTGGTTCGATCCCCGGCTCCTTCAGTCTGCATGACAAAGTGCTCTCGGGCAAAACACTGAACGGCTGTGATTGTAAATGTTATTTTCTTGGCACTTTGCAATGACATGTAGTGTAAAGTGCTTTGAGTAGAAACTACAAAAGTACAGTTCATTTACCATTTATACTCGTGGTCTAATCAAAAACAGAGCTGTGATGTGCAAACTGGATCTTGGACCACATTCCAAGGTTAAACTACTGCCTTTTACCGTCCTATTATCTGAATAAAAAGGTAAAGAACTCTTTAAGTCAAACTGAAATTACATTGCATGTTTTCCGTCTGCTAAAACTAATGAAACATCTCTTTAATGACATGTCTTCTGCTCTCTTTTGAGAAAAAACACTAAGATTCTACAGTCATGAGCTGTGAAATCAACACACAGAGTAAACAAACAGTTGATTATTTTGCAGATAAGGAGCAAATTAGCATTTCATTTGGACTTCTCTGTCCATCCAATTTAAGTCCAACATTCAGTCTCTGAATTAGCTCAGATTTTTTATCTCTACCAGCTGCTGGTAGAAATATTGTCTCTTTAGCTGCTTAATGCTTCACTATGTTCACCACCAGCTTTTTGTTTTGTCTTTTCAGAAAACAGCTGCTGCAGCCAAAAACAACCACAATTCATCCAGTAAAGTTATTCCTTGAGGTATTTATTTCTGTACTGATGTAGTGGACCGACCTACTGACAGTTGTTTCTCAAGATGGAAAAGTTATTTGACTATAGCCACCCACATGAGCTTTTGAATTACATTTACATTTGTTTATTTAGCCGACGCTTTTATCCAAAGCGACTTACAATTGCTATACATGTAAGAGGTTGCACGCCTCTGGAGCAAAGAGGGGTTAAGTGTCTTGCTCAGGGACACATTGGTGGATGGGTCATGAACCCAGGTCCCTCACGCCAAAGGCATGTGTCTTATCCATTGTTCCATCGTCACCTGAATGAATGTCTCAAGCGCAACCAGCTTGAGGTTGTACCGCATAGTCCTGACTGGAACTTGCGACCTCGGGTATGGGAGGTGGACCCGCTAACAGGGAGGCTAAAACCCATGGGGGCTGGCGACAGTCTTGTGTTGCCCCTTAGCTTGCTGAACGAGCCGCAAGGGCTGGACGATATGGCCAAAAATGTTATCACGATAAAAAAGTTTAATATCTTCCGATATCGATAATTATCACGATAAGTATCAAATCTTTATTTCTTTCGAGAAAGAAGAAACCTGATGGTTAATTGTGGTTTAAACTCTTTTTTTATGGTCAACACTTGGAGTTCACTTCATAAATCTGAGGTAGAACATGCACGAGTAAAAGCTTTTAAATAAAACCTTTTTCAGTCCTTTTTCCTCAACAAAATAAACATCTTAATAAAAAAAAAAAAAAGTCCTAATTCGTGAATGATTCAAGTGAATAAAATCAAACATTTGTTGAATATTTTTTGAACATCTGTTATTTTGTTATTGAAAAAAAGTTTCTCACAACAATTTTTGTTATTGTTTTATTGTCCAGCCGTACGAGCTACCAAACAAAAACCCACCAGGTGAAAACTGCACTGCTAGATAGGTAATTAGCTAGTTAGTACAGCGAGTATCTTAAAAACGCACCCACTTATCTAAAACAACTGATAAGTCAGTTTAGATGCCAGATGGGTCGTCATTCTTTAGCCGGTAAGTTGGAAGTGTGAGTAAGTTGCTAAAGACCTTGTTTTTTCCTTTCACTTCAGTTTTGTCATTTCAGTTTCAGGGTGGTCAGTTTAATGACAACACACTGAATCCCATAAGCACTTCAAATCTTCGCATTTAGTCACTTCCTGCTTACCGCCATGTAGGGTTTGCAGCCGGCGTCCATGGTTTTAGCCACGGAGTCGACCAGGTAGCCGCTGATGCCAAAGTCGCACATCTTCACCTGGCCCTGAGTGTTGATCAGCACGTTGGAGGGCTTCACATCTAAACCAAAAGAGAAAGATGACACGACATTCAGCTGTTTTAGCATGTGTGCAGACAACTTCTTGGTTTTCCTCAGTCATACTTATGAAACGGCGCTGTGGTCGCTGGTGAAGACAGATGGTGTGAATCTTTGTATTACAACGGTCACATGAAGCGTTGATGCAACAAGAGCCGCACAGTGGTCATAGCCAGGCCACAGACGTTTGACACAGGAAGGATTAACCCTTTCAAGATCATAACAGTGTGTATAGTAGTTTAGATTTCTGGATGTATTTATTTCTATCTAGGTAGTTATTTATTTCTATATGGTATGTAAATCGGCCCTGCGATGGACTTGCGACCTGTCCAGGGTGGACCCCGCCTTTCGCCAGATGTAAGCTAGGATTGGCTCCAGCCCCCCACTACCCTGTACGCAGGATAAGCGGTTGACGATGGATGGATGGTATGTAAATCAATAAGTAAGTTGCTTGAGTTGTGAACCCCAAATCTGCATTAAATGTCAATGTCACATTTTCACTGGTTGATTATGCCACTTAAAGGAAAATTTAAGGACAGCGAATTACAATTGAGTCTGATTTTCGTAGGTTTGACCATAATTTCTATCAGCTGTGATTAAATTGTGCTCACCAAGCTTAATTTAGACGTAAAATGGAAAGAAAAACTGTGTGCACAGCTTCAGTCAGTAGAGGCCAAGGAGACAGTCTGTAAATTGTATTAATACTCTTTTTAGAGTGCAGCAGTATAAACTGTAACCCATTGGCATATTATCGCCTTTAAACTTTGGTTTCTTTAGTAAGAAAAAAAAAAAATATCTCTTTTATTTTATCTTGACATTTTATCCTCTTATTAAGTTGATACCAAACAGCTGCCTATTTACATCTCCAGCAGACACAGACTAACATTCGTCGGGAGTCATGTTTCTGTCCACGTGATGAATGTCCAATATTCACTCTATTTTAGTTCTGGTTTAGTTTCCACCAACTCACACAATTCACAAAATATCTGCTTTTTAAACTGATAAGATCGCTGAGAGAGAACCAAAACAAGGCGGGAAAGAAGGTCAAAAAAATGAGCTGAAAGACTCTAAAACAGGTAGAGCTGGAGGGGACTGCAGAGTCGGATGCTTATAACCCGTGAATTCATCACACTGTTCATTCAAACCTACATTGCACAGCTTTAAATGGAGATTAATGTGAAAAATCTGCACTGCTTAACATCTAAACACCAATGTTACAGACAAAAATAAATGCAGGCTTGATGTTCACTGTAGATTTTAACATCATAAGCAAACGGAAAGGAAACCAATGGCTGTCAGAAAGAAAGAAAGAAAGAAACTCAGTGCAGCTGAGTGATGATGCATCACAGTAGTGGATATTGACACTGTCTCTGAGAGGTTTAATGGGTTTCCACTCAGGCTCTTACCTCTGTGTATGACTTGCAGATTGCTGTGCAGATGCTCCAAAGCTTTTACTATCTGTAATAACATAGGCCATTAATAAGCAAATGAGAGTTACATAACAAATATCTGTCATTAAGCTAACACGAGCTTAGCATTCACAGGAAGTATGTCGTTTGGAACTGATTTCTAATTGTTCACATTATGCTGAACCCACCGAGACGGCGATCTTTCCCAGGATGTCCTCGGGGATGACCATGCCCTTCTCGATCACCTGCTTGTAGAACTTGTCGAGGGAGGTGTCCATCAGCTCCATGCAGATCCAGACGTCGCCCTGGCAACAGACAGCCCGAATTTGGAAAGAGATCAGGAAAAATGGCAACAAACAAAGCACCAGGACGCATTCCAGACAGACAGGAAGCGGCAGATTTTCCAGCGTTTGAGCCACGACGAGGAAATCCTGAACATCCACTCACTGCTGTAGGAAGTTATCTGCATCCGTAAATCTTCACAAGTGTTTGTCGTTAGGACACACTGGTGGTTCTAGTTTTGCTGCACGTGAACAATGGGTGCAGATTTGGACGATTTAGTCTAACTGATCCGGCTTGTCACAGATACATCAGTCTAATGAAATATATCTAATATATGTGGCAATAGATGCTCTTTAGGCTGCGTTTTCACACACCGTCAGGAGGGTTGGACATCATTCGACATCTCTTTCAACAAAACTAAATGTTTCTGAAAAAAAACGATTTAAATTAGAATCTGTCTGATCCAAGAAAGCTAACTTTTAGTACTTGAGAGTACCGATTTCAGCCGGTACTAAAATGTATTGAGGTTTGATTCACCATCGGCATTGCTCACAGCTTCAGGGCTTTTTATGCAACAACTGAAAGGTGCCTAACAAAACTGTAATCAAAACATTTAAATACTGTATAAAGTTAATGAGGTTCGGGAGCAGGGACACACCTCTACCACACCTCCAATCACCTGTCAAGGCTACATACACCACTCCGCTCAGCCTGCCCTGCTTGTTTTAGATTACTCGATGCAAGACAGACAACGATCCACGCTCAGCAGCACACGCTTAACAGCACGCTTGTTTCAGATCGCTCGACAAGTAGTGCGAGAATAACATGACCGCGACACAGACACCTGTCGCTCTCTCTGCTGTCTCTGTCCTCATCGCTCAGAGACACTTTGCTCTGTTTGACTGTCTCTCTGCTGCAGGATGCATAATTCCCTCTGAAGCGGCTGTGAGCTGCACTTTATCAGAGGTGCTGTAGTTTAGATTTGTGTGGATATGTGGTGAGATTTATTTCTGATCACAAGTGTTTGCAGTTTTTCTACCTCTGATGAAGAGCAGTGCTCTCAACTCATCCAGTACAGCCCCAGATGGGCTCTGTGTCTGTCAGACGGTCTAAAGGGGATAACCACTAGCATATCAGCAGAGCAATATTGCAGCGTAATGCACAGCAGAGGGGCAGCTAGATTTTGTTCAAATATAATGACTTCATTCTCATCAGATAACAATTTTATTCTCGTAATATTTCGACTTTAGTCTCAAAACATTATTCTGCCAATGTCAGAGATCACAGATCTGTGCGAGAGATTCTGAATGTGCAGAAAGTTTTGGACATGAGCAGAAAACCTGCTGAAACACAGGAGCTGTTAAAATACAGTCGCTTCTAACTGAATTCAAATTGATTAAGCTAATTTATCACTGAGGCGAAAAGGTGCCACATGCACATGTAAGAGGTTACTTCAGGCATGCCTGCATGTACAGGAATGTATACTCAGCAGGGATGAAATTAAATGTGAAAAGTTGATATACAGGAGAAACATATCTGACAGCAATACAAAATGCCTGAGAGCCTTACTGCATCCTGACTTTTGTGTTTCCTTTTATATAAATAAAGACATTCCATCAATAAATTGGTGCAGAAATTACCAGAATGCAGGAAATTAAGTGTTTAAAGCCCAAATTCTGAAAGCAGGTGAAAATATTCAACTAGATTTCTGGGCTGGGCTAAACCCCCAGTGTTTCAAGAGCCTGGAAAGGCCCCTGTGATTCACAGCCCTCTAGTTCAGGCTCTAGTTAGACTAGTTGGCCCGTACCTGTGCAGCCTTGTAAGTGTAACTTGTTACCTCTCTGAATAGTGCTCCGTAGAAAGTGACTGTGTAGAAACAGTCCACCGTCCTCATGGAGATGTCCAGGTCCATGAGCAGCCTCTTCTGCTCCTGCGTGTTCACTGTGGCCCGAATCCGCTGATCGAGGACGACAGGAAATGAAAAGGTTTGAAACAATAGAGATGACAATAGATGACACGCATCCTCATTCATGTGGATGCTTCTTATTGATGGTTTGTAGCGCTAATGTGAAGGAAAACTGAATATGTGCCGATGTACAGAGTGGGTCAATGTTGCTCTGAAATTAAGATTTCTCTGTACATGATAATGAAGTAATCTACCTGGGACACTGGCTTGTACAGTGCTCGACTGGCCAGTGACAATCAGATTTGCATTACTGCAAAGGTTAAACTTTTTCTGCCAAACAGCTGTGTTGTTCCAGCCTCTGTGCCAAAACAGTGGCGTCATTCAGTGCGTTCACATGCACCTATTAAACCAGGACACAGCCAGCTTTCTGCAGTAAGCTTATTTCTCAAATAAATAATAATAATTCGAAATTTAGCTGGCGCTTTTATCCAAAGTGAAAATTGCTGAAAGAGTCTTGCTCAGGGACACACTGGTGGATGTTGCAGTGGGGAAAGATCCGAGGTCTCCGAAACCACAGACATGTGTCTTATCCACTGTTCCACCTCTAAATTAAACCAAAAAATGTTCTTGTATTTTAAATAATTTCATCCAAAATACGACTGAAACTTGCACACAAAGCAGTTTCCACCGCATGACCTGGTTTCTCTGAGAAGTCAGCTAGTAGGTACGTTTGCGTGCATATACGGCCGATTGTCCAACCAAACTGCTGAGCTGCATTGTGGGTAAGAAAAATTTATGGAATAACAAACAAAATATCCCTGTTTTTTTACTGTACATTGTGAATCCGACATTGATGGAGGACTATCTTAAGTGCATGTAAATGTACTGACTGAAAAGATCGCGGAGGCAGTGCTAAAGTTCATCTGATTCTGTCGTTCATGCACTGAGTGAAAGCACGAGAGGTTCTGGAAAAGCAGAAGTCGACCGTCCTCTGGTCCGCCTTTCCCTCACCTTCACAGCCATGATCAGGCCGCTGGGCACGTGCCTCATCTTGTCCACAACGCCGTACGCTCCACGGCCGAGCTCGCCGATCTGTTCCAGGTCATCTGCCTTCACTTCGAAATTCTATTCCAGAAACAATGAGGAAACAAGGCCAGGTGAGAGGCGGGTACAGACACACAGGAAGAACAGGTCGGTGGCCTGCTGGTACCTCTCATCTCTGTTTTAAAGAACATGTACAGCTACTCTGCAAAATGTCTGAATCACTGCGCACTGTCTCCCTCACAGTGCAGCAAGATGCAAAACACCTTTTCACATTCAAGCTAAATAATAAATAAAAAAATCATTCACTGACTTCTGGCCAACTGGAGAAGAGAAAAAGCAGGCACCTCTGCCAATGGAAAATTCCACTTATTTGATGAGTTTAAAATAAATATTTTTACTGCCTGATGGTCAATAAAAGGCATTCCAGTCTCCCCACAATCAGAAGTGTTCAATTCGGCTGTAATGTTCATCGGGGCGTTCTTTACAGCCAACAGACCCTTTATTAAGGCAGCCTCCGTGGCTTGAGAGAAAACCAAAAATACACTGGGAGAAGGGAAAAAAAGTAAACAGTGGAGCGTTATGTAAGAGTCCAAGGTAAGAGAAAAAATACATAAACCTTGAACGGGATTAGGAAAGGTGCAAAGATGAAAGTAAATATGTCCCGATCCAAAAATGAGTCCAAGAAATGAGCCAAAGAAATAAAAGTACCTTCTCTCCGATGGTTACACAAGCTTTTGAATCCAAATCTCTGGGGGGTCTGAAACACACAGACAGACTTTTTATTACATACAAACTGGTTAAATAACAATAATACAGAAAAGCAGAAAGTACATGTCAGAAAAATCTCAGGGGAAAAATGCAGGACGAGCGTGACGTTAAAGATCTGTCAACGCTGTCCACCAGCCTGACAGACAAACAAAATGCAAACAAACAAAATGCAATAGATAGAATACAATAGAATAGACCAACAAATAAATTTAAAAAAACATTGTTTTTGAAAAGATTTTTTTTTAAACCTTGGTAAGAATAATGTGAACAAACTCAAGGTTCACTTCCCAGGGTTTTCAGGAGCTTTCAGCCTTCTCTCAAGGTCGTCAACATTATAAAATAATAAATAAATAAATAAATAAAGTTTTAAAACAAATGAGAAAAATGTTTAAAAATAACAAACTTTAAACTATATATTAAGAAAATAAATACTAATGTAATTGTAACTAATAAAATCAACAAAGTGAATGCAATAAAAGCACAGATTTACGATTTGTTTTAATATGGCTGAAAGTCTGACCCTGACATTTCATTTCAAAGTTGGCTAGAAACCAAAACGCCTCTGCTGCTGCAGGTTTCTCAATGAAGAGGATTCACTTTAAGGCAAGACTGAACATTTCGTTTTTCTGCAGCGCAGAATGATTTTTGGCCTCAGCTGCTCCACAAGCATCAGCAAGTATTCTGTATGAAGTCTTCTCGTGCATTACCATCGTTTAAATTTCCTTCTCCTGTTAACTGCTCTTTGTGAGATTTAACACACTCAGCATTCTGATTTGGTTTAAAAGCAATCGGGTCTAGCGTAAGTGCAAAACAGGATATGACGATCAATAGAAAACCTTTGCATGGATTTAAGCATTGGACGTGATGAAGCATGATTGTAAACTTACACTGCGGCGGGAGGAGGCTGCTCAAACACCTCCTTGGAGAGCTTGAGCACCGGCTTCCTCTTACCTGCAAACACACAAAATACAACAAACCACATTAGAGAACTGAGGTCAGAGACAAAAACCTTCAAGGGTTCTATGGTTTATGTCACGGTAAAGATCCTTTAATATCTTTCTGAGTAATGTTACAAATCAGTGCTGGATTGACAGTATCTTGACTTATTTTCCACAAATGTTTAAATATACAAAGACTATATAAGCATTTAGGACGGCAACTAACGATTATTTTCTTTATCGATTCATCTGTAGATTTGTTTTCATTAATTCACCAAGTCATCATTTAGTTTCCAGAGCCAAGGGGACATATTTAATTTAATTTAATTTACCTTTAAAGCAAACTTTATTCAGTTTACAAAGATATTTAGAAAAACAGCAAATTTCTTCAAATTCTAACAACTGAATTTACATCCTAAAGCATGATTTTTTTCCCCCCCGATTAAAGACTTTCTGTTGATGAATTGACACGGTTATCTTTTTAATGAAAATTGTTTTGTTTAGACATAATGAAGAAGGCTGCAGCAGTGCCAAAGGTGATATCTTCACAACTGGTTCTCAACTCAAATACACTCCAAGGATTAATCGATTATCCAATAGTTTTATTCGTTTTCTGTAAATGAATTCTCTCAGCTCTAGTCCAATGCCAATTTTGTAATAGTTTAGTCTGAGTGAAGTAAAAGCAGAAGGATGCAGACTGATGCGACTCCAGAGGGGCTGGTCCCACTGGCGGCCGAGCATACCAGGAGATGAAAGCATACTCAATTCTTAACATAGCTCAGGAAGAGAGAGCGGTTGATCAGACTTCATCCTCTTAAACCTTTTACTCTCAGCAAGAGTGTGCAGCCTGTAAATCTTATCGTATGAACGTTCTATCAATGTACAACTGAAATGACAACTAAAGCAAATTCATTTTAAGATTTAAGAAGAAGGAAACTTCAATCAAACCTCAATAACATTTAGAGTGACTCAGTGCTACTTGTGATTCTCTATGACGCAGATTTGTGCTGAATAACCGAATCCACGTATCTCTACTCCAGGAAGATTCAATGTGAAAACACTGACGAGTCGCTGCTTCTGTCCAGAGCTTAGCCATCAGGCACTTCAGAACTCCCACTGATGCAAAATGACTCAAACTTCCTGCAGCCATCTCTCTAAACAAAGACCAACACAAAATGCTTCGTCTGTGTTACATCCAGTCTAGAGCTGTTTTTTTTTTTTTAAATGTCCTGTTGATATAGCAACTGCAGCAACGACCTCAACGAAGCTCCATCTCATCATCGACACTTACGGTTGGATGCAGTGAGTGACTCCAGATCCTAATTGAATGAAACAGGGGTTGAAAGCAAGAAGAAGAAGAAGAAGAAGAAGAAGAAGAAGAGGAGGCGGTCTGGCAGCCCAGGTGTGCTCGCTCCATCTGGAGATGCTGCACTGATGGTTTAACGTCTGGGCGCCTTGTTAACAGGACGTCACAGGTTCATAAGGGTGTGACCGTGTGTGGGTGGTTGCCTGACTTGTCTTTCATACAGGCTCTGGCTCAAACCTCCCCAGACTGGCTTATAGCAGTTGAACCCAGTCAGAGTGTCTCCTGCTCTGGACAAAGGTGACTCCAGGCGATGCCTCTGATGCATCATGCCTTTTTTTACCCCCTGCGAACGCTTGGGAACGTGTGTGAAGCTCTGAGCAGCTGACGCACAAAGCTTTAAAACAATATTTAAAGTCACAGCGGTGTGTAACGCCCCCTGATGTCATAATGAGCTATTAAAAGTAAAACTGAAGGTGTGTCTCTTCAAAAGAGGAACAACAGGGCAGGAGGAATAACTGAAATTTCTCACATTGCTGTCTTGTGAGAAAATACAAAACACATGTAGCTGTGGACAGATGTGACATTCAAAACACAGCCCTGAATGCGTATCACTCAAACACACACTCACACACACACAAACACACACATATACCACCAGTGTGTCCTGTTTTGTTGAAACAGGGTGTGACACTGCTGTGCTATGCGGCCCTCCACCGGCGGCCTCTTGCTGCCTGCCTCCTGGTCTCCACTTTCCAAAGCAGCTTTGTTGCACTAAAATGTCAGTTTCAGCCCCTCCTACATGCATTTACGCAGAATGTACACAGACAACAATAGTAACTGGAAACCGACACTCTGCTAACAGGTACTAGAAAAAAACAACCAGAGAGGGAACAACTGCAGCAAGTCTGCACAATCCTCTCAATGTGTTACTTTAATGCTATTAAGTTTTTTAGAGTTAGCTAAAATATCTGGCATTAAGCATTTCTGATTTTGAGATTTCTGTTTTTTTTCATTTAGAGTTCATGTGCGTGTGCGCGTCTAACAGTTTTTGTCAATTAGGCCACAGCTGCAAGGATTTGACATAATGACCAAATGAATAATCTTAATTTCAGGCGCTGGAGTAATTAGTTGATCAATCGATTAACAGAAATTGAATCATCCACAATTCTGATAATCAACTAATCTCTTAAGTCAATAAATTCTCTCTCAGTTTTCTGTCCATTTCATGGACCAAACAATGAACCAGTTATTCGTGAAACTAATCATCAGATTGATGGATTATACAAGTTATCATCAGGCGTTTTCTACCAGATGTGGTGGTGAATGGATGGAATTTGTACAAAGGCTGAGAAACAACTTTTGCAGAAACAACAAATAGCAGCGCATCAGATTTGGACTTTCTGCACTCCTCAGCATATGTTTAAAGGAGGACGAAAGATAACACAGTGAGCAAAATCCAAAGTATAACCACATTATAGCAGGACCAACCAATTCTGGGCATTTTAATTAATATCAATATTTGTTTAAAAATAACTCTTTCTTTGTTAGTGGGAGAATTACAGTTAAAAATGGTTGTCAATGTTTTGATTAGGACACTTTGTGAATGCCTTTAGAAATGCAGTGTCTTTAGCACTGATTATTTTTACTGATGATTATTAGCTGACATTTACATAAATTCTGAAACAGCTGCAATAAACTAATATCTGCCTATACTGAGTCTAAACTACCAGGGACAAGGACAAATGTCCTGGAGTAGATTTACTAAGACATTACTAAGTAGACATTAATAGGAAGGAAGAAATTCAATATTTGTAGGTACTTGAAACACAGCTGCTAGCCTGCTGCTAACACTGCTCGCTAATCTTAAAATGTCAACAACACTGTAAGTTCTGTTAATCGGTGTGCACAAATTATGAATTTAAGAGTACAAGTAGGCCTTTTAGGCCTTTTCTCTGCACTAATGGATCCAGATGCACATCAAAAACTAATAATGGTCTAACATTCTTCCACATTTCACTGACATTGGATTTATGTGATAACAGGATGGAAAGCAATAACTACAGGTTCCACATGAAGAGGATCAATACATACTTTCATCTCCATTAGATCAGATGATTGACCTCAAACAATGTTAGAACAAAAGATTCACTGTGTGATTACAGTGAAGCGACATCATCCTTTTTCTTTCACCACGAGTGTGAACACTGACTGAAAAATCTTCTGCCTTATAGCCTTCAGCACTGAGATCATGAGACAAGAGGCAGCATGCTCAAAGGAAGAAGATTTATTCTCCAAAACCTCTGCACGCATATTAAGCTCAATGCATCGCAGTCCCTTATACACACACACATGCGAGACACACCATCCCAACATGAATAATGTGGCTGCAGAAACAGATTTGTATGTAAAGAGCAGTAAGTCATAAGAGGCAGGTATTGGCGGGCTGCGTCTGGTGGTGGCGATCCAGCAGCCACGCATGCAAATCAAACTGACAGGCAGCTCAGTGCTGCATGTACAATGACATGTCTGAACCAACAGGAACGCTGGATTCTGTGTTTGCAGGGCGGCACTGCTCGAAATCCTGCTGCCACTGACCGAGAAGAATAGAAAAGAGTAGAGTGAACAGAAGTGTAAGAAAGAGAGAGGAGGTGGGGGGGTCGGAGGATCAGAGGATTATGTAATCTATGTGGCTGTCGAGAATAAGCATGTGCTCTGCTTTGCTTCATTATACAAACGGGGAAAAGTATTCAAGTAGCAATTGGAAAGTAGCAATCAGTGACTTTATTGATTCATTGATCAACAATTCATCAATTAATGAGTTCAGTCATTATTTATGTAAAAAGGCCCAAGACGTCACTTGGGGGTGTAGGGACATTTCAATACATTTATAGAGAAATGAGTTATCGATTAATCTTAAAAAATATTAATTGATAATGAAAATCGTTTTTTGCAGCTCTGGTAGCAAAAATACTCACTTAGGTCAAACATTCACTATTGCACATTATTAAAAGTACACAAGTATTAGTAGAAACATGTACTTAAGTATAAAAAGTATGCAGAATGTCTCATTTCTGTGTGTTACATATAGTCAAAAAATATAAGACTGCATGTAAGGATTATTTTCATCATTAATTCATCTGCCAAATATGGTGGACCTCTTTGGTCCACACAGAAATATCTAACAACTACTAAAAGGTTTGACATGAACAAGTCTAGTGTCAATACTTTGATGCATGACCAAATCCCTACAAAGCTAATAACATTCCCATCATCCTCAGCTGCACTTTGTGTTTACTGCTAAATCAGCCAAAAAAAGTTAAACTAAGACACGGTAAACAAATCATCATGTAACGATTGTCGCTGTGAGCATGTTAACACGCAGACGTTAGCATTTAGCTCAAAGCATCACTGTGTCGTTACAGTACAGCTTCACAGACTCGCTAGCGTGTTTCAGCACTAACACTATGTACAGTGGGGAGGCACCACAATGAAAACTCTTGGCCGAAGCCAAAACCGAATATAATGAAAAACTTTCCCAAATACTGAACAAGGTTTTTCAAATTTTTTTTGCCATTTTTTACCATTGCATAAATTAAACAGTCAAAATGTGCTTTTTCCTCCCCCTCAGTGTTTCCCACAGGATGTGGAGAGACTATTTACTAAAGTAAATTACATGTGTCCATTTACTTTTAATGGTAATATAATCC